GGAAGAAATATAATTGGGAAGGGAGCTGTGAATAATAACAACAAAAACTTTAAAGCACGTGTACATAATAAAAACTTAAGATGTTATTATAGTCCTATTATACGCAGAGATTCAGGCAAAATTACCAATGTTAGCCAATAAGAACATAAAGGGCAATATATTTCACTTAGCTTACAAAGATCTTCAGTCTTTTATGATCCTGTTGGTAAAACCACATAAGCGCTTACCAACCTCTTCTGCGTGATTCCTAAGCAGCAAGGTTGTATGAGGAAAATGTGCATTTTGAAACAAAAGAGGGCTGGATGCTTTTCCGAGGTTCCTAACTGTAGTAGGAAATTAGACACATCTCTGAGCCTCATCCTGTTCTGAAAATGGGCATTTACACCTACACTGTAATGCTGCTGTCAGCACCAGTGGAACAATAGTTTCTCCCCTAACTAACAATGCCCACCACATAGCATTAACAAGAATTAGGTTTCTTTTTTCTTTTTTTTTCCTTCATAATGACATTAAAACTATATTGCCAGATATCCCAGTAGAATTTTGTAGCACCTAGAGACTCTAGCACACATGTGTCAAACACAAGGCCCGCGGGCCAAATCCGTCCCACCAGGCCTTGCAATGTGGCCCACACCACGCTGTCATCACTGCACTCCGCTGCGTTTCCATCACAATGACAGTTTATGACTGTTCAGTAAACCATTCGGCCCGCGATTTAGGCTGGATTTTAGATTTTGGCCCCTTCTCTGATTGAGTTCGACACCCCTACTCTAGCAGTATGTATTAATTAAAGTGGGAAATTCTTAAATGCTGCCTTGGGGAAATCAGTGGGCTGAATTTAACATTGTCCTTACTCCCAAGTGTATTCTAGGGGGCCAGAAACTATCCACTAGGCAAGTTCTCCCAGCACTAGCCTACGAAGATACATTTCTTGGTTCTGGCTCCATCCTTCCATTGTATTTTTTAAGCTATGGCTTTAGAGTTCTTAGTTATATTCTAGCTAGACTAGGATGGTCAAAAGAAAAGCCCCTATAAATATATAATATTTGCTTCCCTGAAATCAAGGCATGTTGCAGTGCGTAAGACTACACTTATGTCTTTACAATATATTCTGCATATTTTACCCATGGTTGTTGGGGGGGGGGGTTTCTCTCAATATGACATAGTAAGTATTTTGGCTGGTAAATATATGCCAAGATGCCAAGTAATGGGACTTATTCTAGGTACTGGGCAAACTCCCTCGTTGCCTTTGAAGTAGCACAGTGCAAGGACCAGAGAGATTGTGCATGCACCAATGGCAGGAGGGAGGTCCAAGGCTTTTAATCTGTAAAGGGGCTATTAATTAGTCAAGAACTAAGGTGCCTCATTGAGCCAATGCTGGGAAACTTTTATGTTCCTCAGCCACAGACTACTTTCTATCCCCAAGACTTTTCTAATTTGAGAAGAGTCTAGCATAAACTCATGCTGAGTGTTACCATGGGACTGTTCAGAATAAGTAGGAGAATGTTGCAGGGATCCTGAAATGATTAAAATCTTTCTTAGCTAGTTTCTCCATGATTGACAGAAATTTACTTTTCTTTGCTATACCAGAGAGTCCTAAATTTATGCTTACAGTTCTTTTTAAAGGAATATGTGGAATCTAATGAACAAAATATTCTGTCAAACAAAATAGATCCAGAGACACTGAAGCGTGCAACAGACTGACATATTTCAGAGCTTGGGGGGTGGGGGCAGAGAGGAAAAGATTAACCAAAAAATGTATATGCATAAACTCATAACCCATGGACAGACAATAGTGTGGTGAAAGGCTGGGAAGTGATTGAGAGCATGGGGGGGGGGGGGAACAGGCAAGGGGGGAGAAGGAGTCTGTAATACTTTCAACAATAAAGATAAATTTAAAATTAAAAAAAATTGTAAGTGAACTTACTAAGAGCTTAATTAATACATTATAATTGCCTGAAGAGTTTGCTTTATACATGATTTTTATTATTTTACCCTGTTTCCCCAAAAATAAGACAGTGTCTTATATTAATTTTTGCTCCCAAAGATGCGCTAGGTCTTATTTTCAGGGGATGTCTTATTTTTCCATGAAGAAGAATACGGTACACTTTGATTGTTAAATGAAAATAAAGGAAATTTATTACCTGTATACGGTACGGTAGTACGGTAGTTGTCAACACAAACCAGACAAACTGTGAATCCTACAGTATCAAGAATTTACTCATTTATTCAATGACAATCATGTCATCATCTTCTGGAACATCATCATAACAATCCAATTCCTGAATTTCCTGTGACTCCATTTCTTTCAGAATCAGTGGACCAACCAAATCTCTCATGTTTAGCAATAGCACTGTCTTTAAATGAGTACTTCTTGTCAAGGTAGCCTGCTCGCAGTGCATTTGCAATGCAACTGTCAGTGATTTTCTCCCATGTATTCTTCACCCAAGTCACAACAACTTCTTGCAATTTAGGTTGCACAAACTTTCCACGCTGATTTCTCTCCATTCTTTTTTCAATGTAGTCATTAATTTCCATGCGCAAATTGCCTTTGAATGACTTATTTATTGCAATATCAAGACTCTGGAAATAGGCCGTCATTCCTGTGGAAATCATTATCTGATCTATTTTTCTTTTGTGAAGAAATGTCTTCATGTCTTCAGCACAGTGAATGCTGCATCCCAGACTAGCAGACCTCTTTGGCTCCCTGGCATAACAAGGGGCAGCATTAAATCGACCCACTTCCTTATAACTGCTTTGTGTCCAAGGCTTTTTCAGTTTCAAGAATGAAAACGCCCAAAACACGTTCAATCTTTTCCTTCTTGCCCTTAGAAATGATTAAAGGTGGGATTTTAGTGCCATCCAGATGAATTGCCAAAATACAGGAAACGTGCACTTTCGTAAGCAGTGGAGGAATGTACATTAAGAAGGTACCCTGCTGTTCAATTGTTGTTTGAGATGATTGGCCCATAAACACTGCAGTTTCATCCATAGCAATCATGTTGGAAAGATTGTATTTAGAGAAGTCAGAGCCTAGGGGGGACCTTATTTTCGGGGGATGCCTTATATTTCACTCAGAAGGAAACCTGTAAGTAGGTCTTATTTTCGAAAGATGTTTTATTTTCGGGGAAACACAGTATCAGAGTAGTTGCTGTGAATAGGAGGAAGATGTTTATAAAATGTTGGAAGCTAGTTTTGGCAACAATAACTTATAATATAGACAGAATTCACATATAAAAATTATATGGATGATAAATCATATGCAATTATTATAACTACTGAATTTTAATCATTATATGGTAGATTTTTGAAAAATATTTTTGTGTTACACCTCAGATTTACTCAACATAAGTAAATCACTGATAATACTCCCATCTTTGAGCCTTCAAAATACATTTAAAAATCCAAAATTATTAAGACAGACCAACAAATCCAAAGCCAGATTAAAAAATGAACGAATGATCTCCAAGATGGAGCTCACCTAAGATATCTACTATAATAATATTATTGCTTCACCCTAATCATTCATTCACTCACTCATTCATTCACTCATTCATTCATCCATCCATCCATTCATTCAACTTTTAATGACAACATACTATGTTCCAGATACCAGAAGAGGCTTTGGATATAACAAAGCTAACAAAAGAGGCATGATCTCTGCTTTCATGGAATTTAGAATCTATACAACAAAAGAACACAGACATTAAGCAGATTGCTAAAGGTCTAGTGAATGTTGAGAGGAAAAACAGAGATCTGTCTAACTATAAGACAGAGGAGAAAAACTAGTTTGAAAATTAAAGAAGACTTTATTTCAGGAAATTATATTTAAACTGAAGAACCAGGGATGAATTTTGCAATCACCCAACAAGATAGCACCATTTACCTAAAAACTTGATTACTAAGAGGAAAATATCTCAAATTCAAGCTTATCAATCTCCAATTCATTAGCCCCATCTGACTGCCCCATGCTCTCCAACAGACAAAGCTATATGAACTTGTTCTTGAACAACAAAGTGACTTACTGTTATTCACTGGGGGAGCTTCAACCAGAAGATAAATGAACCCACTCTATTTAAAATAGCTGCCTCATTTCAGATCATGGGTAAAATGCTATTAGCACCCTGCCAACATCCTCTCTCTTATGTTATTTTCCCATAAAGATGAGAAGTAGTCATGGAAACTTCAATGGTGAGCTTTCATAATCATGTAGTTAATTTTTGTCTGTGTATATTTTAAATCATTTTTGGCACATTTTGAGCTAATGGAGTATTTCTAGAAACTGACTCTTAATGTCTGTAAAGTTTTAAGCTTGAAAGATTACCGGTGCCAATAGCACAGAATCAACAACCTGGTTTTTTAATTCTAAAAAAGCAGAAGTTCCATAGTGGATGCATTTCCAAAATTGATGCATTCAGAGATGGTATTAGTAAAACATGCATAATGACATAATATGATTCAATTTAACAGACATTATTAAGCAGCCACTACATTCACAGAACTATTGCAGATGTTGTGAGAGATTGAAAAATAAAAATAATCTAGATATTGCCTGAAAGGATTTGCTTAAGATATTTGGCCTCTATAAGTTACTAGTGAATTTTCAGCCTCAGATGTCTTCAATGAATAGGCATTTCTGTACTATTTTTGTTAAGCGACTCATGATCTATTTATTACTTTATCTTCATTATTTATTTGCTTTTATTTGCTTTGGATTTAATTTGCTCTTTTCCTGTATATTCTGCAGTTGTTGGGTAGAAATGCTGAATAAATATGAATTAAATCAAGTACAATAATATACTGCTATTTTGTATTTCTATTTGTTTTTTTTTATCTCTTCTCTTGTAAGAAGTGTTGAAATTTTCAGTTAGAATTGGGAACTTGTCTATTTCCCCTTTTCAGCTGGGTAAATCTTTGCTTAATGTACTTTAAAGCATTTTCTATGAGATTCATATATATTTTAGTCTGTTATGTCTTCCTGAAAATTGACCAACCATTTTATTATGATGAAATGTCTATCTTTATTCCTGGAAATATTTATTTTTCTCTCATTTACTTTATCCAATATTAACAAAGCCATGCCAGTTTTAAGTTTAGTAATCCTATGGAGTATATTTTCTCCTCTGGTTTTCAGCTATCTGTCTTGTATTTTGTTTTTGTAGAAAGTATATAATTTTTCTTTTTTGATCCAATCTGATCATCTACTTTTAATTGGAATATTCAGACCATTTATATTTAATGTAATTATTGAGATGATTGATTTAATTCTATCAACTTGGTCTTTGCTTTCTAATTTTTGACCAAAATTAAATGAGACATTTTTAGAAATAATTATCCACATATTTGTCATTTTTAATACTTTTCATTTGTTGGCTTAGATCTAAAATCATTTACCTTCTTTCATAGTTTGACCTTAATTCTTGAAAAAATAATTTTGCTAGTATAGAATGTCGTATTGACAGATTTTCCTTGCCTATCATTCAACCTTCTAAAGTCATTACTCTATCGTAACTGGCTTTCCATTTCTATGGAGAAGTCTATGGCAATTATCCTTGTATCTGTGTGGGAATAATGTGGCTCATTTTAGTTTTTCTATTTTTCAGAGGTTTTCAAGAAATTGTAGTCTTCCTTGTATTCATGCTGTTTCAGGTCCTTTAAACTCCCTGAATCTGTGGGCTTCTAATTTTCTCAAAATTGGAATAAATCTATGCCATTATTTTCCAATTTTTTTCTGTCTTTCTTCTCCTGAGACTGCAATTATTTATATGTTAAAGTGGTTGATATACTGCTACAGATCACAGAGCACTTTTCTTTGAGCTTTACTCCGTATAAGTCTGTTGCTATTTATTCAAGTTTATTGACATTTTTTAAAAATATATTTTTTATTGATTTCAGAGAGGAAGGAAAAGGTAGAGAGAGATAGCAATATCAATGATGAGAGAAAAATCAGTGATTGGCTGTCTCTACATGCCACTTACTAGGATGAACCCCAAAACTCAAGCCCTGACTGAGAATCAAACCATGACCTCCTGGTTCATAGGTCTATGCTCAAATGCTGAGATATATGGGCTGGGCTGATATTTTATTCTTACATTATTTTTACATTTTATCCTGCAATGTTTAGTCAGCTTGTAAACCAATCCAGTAAAAAAATTTATTTCAGAATTTTTTTTTATTTTTAGATTTTCCTTTTTATTAATATTTTTCTACTAATATTTTCACAATAAATTATGAGCATTTGAATACAATTTATTAGCTTATTTAATGTTTTTGTCTGTTCATTCTATTATCTCTATCACTTCTGTTTCTATTGATTGATTTTCCTCCTCATTATGGATCACAATTTTCTGCTTCTTCACATATTAATAATTCTTTAATGAATCAGAAACATTTATTACTATTTTTTTACTGAGTATTGGAATTTGTTCTGGCAAGCAATTACATTAATTATTAATCAGTTCAATCCTTTAAAATCTTCATTTTTAATTTTTAAAAAGTGAGTCCAAATTAGCCTTTTCTACAGAGCTATTTTAGCACCACTACTAAAAGATGATACTTCTGGAATCTGTATTGCATTTTCCATGTTTTCAATGCCATGTTTACCCTCTGACTCACAGAAACTCAAGCAAATAGCCCTGAGTGAGCTCAGGAAATTTTTCACCTTACAATTCCCTAGTAATTGTTCCATTCTCATCAATTTTTCTCCAGATGCATTGAGTTTCACCCTTTTTCATGCAGAGATTGGTACACAGCCCAAAATACAAAAAAGAACCCTGTACTGATTTTAAAGCTCTTTCCCTGTGTACTTCCCCCCTTTCGAGTATTCTGCCCCACAAATTTTACCCCCACCCCCCCATGACCTCCCCAGACCTTGATATCCTATCCATTCCCTCAACCCAACTTAGATGCTAGGTTCTCCTAAGCAGTCCTTTCCTGAGAAGATTATAGGACTCACCTCATTTGTTACCCTTTGCTCAGGGATCACAGCCTTATTTTGCCTTGGACTAATTCCTAAAAGCAGATGTTTCATTTTTTCCCCACTTTCCTTGTTGATTTTGGTGGAGAAAAAGAAATAAAGTGTACCTTGGCACATGTAGGCTTTCTCCTTATGTCATTATTTTAGGATAAAAAAATATTTTAAACTTGAATGTAATGATTACAAGTGCTAAAAATATAAAATTAATGTCTTCCAAATGATTAGCAAATATAAAAGTAAAAACATAGTACTTCTTAACAACATATCTATATATGATAGAGTAAAAAGTAAATAAAAAATATAAAATAAAGTATAAAGATTCAAAAGCAAGAAAAAACGAGTGTATAGTAATGCAAAGCAGGATACAAAAATTTGAAGGTGAATGTTCCTGAATTTGTGTGCCTTGTGAGGTGGTAGTGATGGCAATGATCTATGTGTATCTGAGTGTGCACAGAGCAATAAAGACTAGACAAAATATGCCAAGCATTAAGTGAAATTATCTTGCTTTAATACAAAGTTATTGAACACTTGTTTCAAGGCTTTTGTTCACAGATTGCTGAGCTGGAAGAATTTCCAGTGTTCACTTTCAGGATTCTATTTGTATTCCCAAGCATCACTGAATAAAATATAGTGCATTTAACTGGGCTATTACTTCTGTTCTGCTCCTTGCTTTATAAAAATCAACTTAGGCTCTCCTTCACAAAAAAAATAAGCACATTCTCATGATTCTGCTTCTTATTATAATGAACAAACACATTAATTTAGTAAATGCTAACTAATACAGTGATATATAAGTTCAATGACTATTAATTCCTATTATATCTGTATATCTTCCACCATGAGCTATCTTGAGTTTTTACCTGAATTTTTCATTTATGTTCATTTTATGTCCATAACTAATTACAAGTTAGTTGAAGTTAGTATGGTTCAGCCCATTGACTTTAATTTTATTTCTATTCTATTTTGATCATTTGATACTTAGTAAAGCTATTATTTTTAAGCAAGACAGTTTCTCTGGACCTCAATTTCCTTATCAATATAGCATGCCCCTATTTGTTCTTAAAATAACTTAATTTATATTATTCAATGACTTGTAAAGAATTTGATACTAGATATTAGAATAGCTTCAGAGAAACGGAAAACAAAACAAAACAAAAGGAATGTTCCTCTTTTTTTTTTTTTAAGAAGGCTAGCACAGACCAGGTAAAGACCTCTCTCTCTCTTTCTTTCTCCCTCTTTCTCTCCCCGCTCTCTCTCAGACACAAAATAATGTCAAATTCACTCATATATACAATTTTACATATATTATTAAGAAAATATAAATATAAATTTTAAAAAGATAAATATAGCTGATTTTACTGAATATCAAAAAAAATTAAATAAGTTAATATGCATAAAATATTCTTGGATGGCTATATATACAATTGCCAATACCCATATATATTAATTTATAAATATAGTGATAAAAATCACAAAACAATACTGGATGAACTAAAAAAAATTATCCTTTAAAAAATAATTAGAAAACTGATGTTATCTGCAAATGAGGAGTTTTATTGTTAACTATTAAACAGTACTCTAAAGCTAAAACAATTGAAACTTATTGTCACAAACAATTGATGAACAAAGAGAAAAATAGATTCAGAAACAATATAAGTATTTTCAATGAATTAAGTAATAGTAAAGTATGATATCGAATAATTGGGTAATGAAATAAACAATAAATAGTTATTTTGTCAAGTAAACATTTGGAAAGAAAATTATAAATTACTTCTCTATAAAATGCCAACCAACAAAATTATTTCAGATGAATTAAATAGCTAAAGGAAAACATAAACCTTGAGAGTTCTGGATAAAAACCTCAGTTGGTTAATTATATATACTTGGTATAGAAGATGACTCCACACCTCCAGAAGAAACAATAAGGAAACATTGATGGGTCAAATTGCATAAAAAATTTTAACTTCTGTACTTAAAAAATAATCACCTCTGACCAACTGGCATGGCTCATTGGTTGAGTATGGACCTATGAGCTACGAAGTCAGGGCTGGATTCCCAATCAGAGCGCATGCCTAACTGCCCTCCCCTGACAACTTGGTCACCCCTAACTGCCCTCCCCTGCAGACATGGTCACCCCTAACTGCACTTCCCTGTAGGCCTGATTCCCCCAATTTCTCCCCCTGTAGGCCTGGGTCCCCCCCAACTGCCCTCCCCTGCTGGCCATCTTGTGGTGGCCATCTTTGACCACATGGGGGTAGCTATCTTGTGTGTTAGATTGATAGTCAATTTTCATATTACTCTTTTATTAGTATAGAGTCCTGGCACATGGGTGGGGACTGGCTGTTTTAATGTTAAGGGTGTCTCTTACCAGGTGGGGGTTCCCTTGGGGCATGGGGTGGCCTGGGCGAGGGGCCCATGGTGGTTTGCAGGCCAGCCACACCCCCCGGCAACCCAAGTGGAGGCCTACTATAATTGAAATTTGTAGCCTTGAGTGGAGTCCAGGTCAGGCCAGGGTGGGCAGAAAGCTTAGCTTCCTTCATCTTCAGGGCAATCCAAGCCTCCTGCTCTCTCCAGCTCCATGGCCACCACCATATTTGTTGGGATAATTTGTATACTTGCTCCTGATTGGCTGGTTGGCATGGCATGTGGGTGTAGCGGAGGTACGGTCAATTTGCATGTTTCTCTTTTATTATTGTAGATAGGAATATATATATATATATATATTCCTAGGAAAGTTTATATATTTCCACACAGTAATTTTGAAAATTTTTTATAAGGCAATGCCTTAGGATTTATTCCAAAGCCAGAATAGTGGGAACAGTATGTCCAGATTGCAGGCAATAAAGAGGTGGATTGTGTGCTGAGAATTTACAATAATAATAAAGCTGACCAGAGGACAGTTTGCTTTTATTGTCTCCATGCACAGGAAATTTGAAACAGTATCAGTGATTTATATTTTATTGATTTTTTACAGAGAGGAAGAGAGAGGGATAGAGAGTTAGAAACATAGATGACAGAGAATCATTGATCAGCTGAC